GCATATTTGAATTAAACAGAGCAGATGAGCGGTGGGAGCTGATAGTCTGGAGCCAAACTTGAGCCTGCTGCCGGCGTGCGTTCCTCTGACTTCTCAGGGGAGATTGACTTCTTGCCTCTTGCTGTCGCCTCCCAGGGGAAAGGGGGCCGTGGTCAGAAGGGTGCCTTCCCCCTCTACCCTCCCCCACCCCCGGCACCCAGACCTAGCTGTAGTTGACCTGAATGCCAGGCTTCCTGGTAGAGTCATCAGAGACACCTACAAATCACCTGGCTCCTCATCTATAATCTTTTATGATGCTAAGCCCCACATTGGAATTAAAGGAAACACTATTGACAATTATAAAATACTAAATATAGCTTAGTACATTTAAAAATCAACAATGGTAAAAGCCTTGAAAATTTTTTCTTTGATGTGAATGGAGTCTTTGGCATTTGGAAATACAATAAGATGAATTAATTGCTACTCATTACATGGGAAGTCAGGAGAAGTATGAATGTGCCTTCCCTCCTTGGCAATAGCTGTTGCCCGACCGAAATAGCCCCCTTTTGTATTTACTCCTGCTTTCTCTAATAATAAGCAAATTAGAGATCATGGCTAGAAAAATTCAAGTGCCCTCCATCTTTTCTCCCAAACCATCATAGAGTTTTGTGAGGTTTATCTGCTCAGGGGCTAGCGCTAATAATTGCAGAGGTCATGTGAATCCACATAGTGCAAGATGAGAAACAACATCTGCAAGATGACTTTTTTACAAGAGGATTCTGTGTTTTGTCTTTTTCTGAAAAAGTGATTTTGCAAGCAAATTGCTATCTTTCCTCTTTTGTATTATATTTTTGTATTGCTGGGGAAAGTATATTTGGGGAAACACATTTAAGGGCTATCCAGAGTTTTTGAATCCATAGTCTTTTTTTCAACGTTCCATATTTTTCCTGATGTATTGGTGGACTTCCCCATAAATAAAGTAGACTGGAGTCTTTACGTGTTAAATTGATGGCTCCTGAGCAAGCTTTTTGGAGTATGTTGATGTAGTTTGCTGTTCATTAACATTCCAGATGTAACGGCTATAAAATGGTACACGCAAGCTCATGAACCTTTTAATATTCTCTTTAAAATTTGTTGAGGGCTAGTGCCGGAAGATGATGAGATAGTTGATTCCTCGGGATAATCGAAGGCCGAGGAGGCAGAAGGAGGTGGGAATAAGACTCGTGTCCAGTCTGGAGGCTGACTTCATAAAACGTCCTGGAGTTTGAGACGCACACTGCTCCAGCCGTGTGCATTTCTGATATGGCTGCCTTCCTGTATATTCCATGTAAACACTTCCCAAACATGGCGCACATTTAAACCGTAACGAGGAGTCTGCAGAGCCCAGAGGCATAGCAGCCGCCGTGCTCTGCTTCATGAAATGTGAAAGCCTCTTTACTAAGTGACAATAACCATTTGAAAGGTTTCGGGCTGAGGAGTTTATGCGTGACACAGCCTGCTGGACCCTGTGTGGCTGAGGTGGGGAGGCCATTGACAGCATGGCGTTCCAGAAATTGGACAGGCAAGAAAGGCGAGCGGGCGCTGAGACTTGCGTCCCTAGGTACATGCTTTATCTGCCTTCGTCCTCAGGTCAGACGGGCCATTTGTTCTTAGCAACCCCCCATGTTTCCTGCCCCATAAATATTTTTCCACGTTTCAGGTCATGGGGCTTGAGTTAGACTTCTGTTGGAAAAGGGAGATGTGCCTTTTTTTCCCCCACTCCCCAAACATTCAGCTTTTTGTAGCCTCTTTCTTTGTCATGTTAGGGGTGGAGGGACTTCAGATCAGTTCTGAGGACTCCGTGTGAAGTTGTCCAGGCTTTTTGCTAGGACACAGCGTTCTTGTTCATACATGTTTGTGTAGAGACATACACACACTGAGAGTATTTCCCGTAATCTAAGACATCATAGGCGGTAACTCAGTATTGACTTCATAACAGTTTTTCAAGATAAGACAGTGTGCTCAAACTTTGTAAATCTCATCTGCATTTCAGAAGTGTTGGTGTGAAAACCTCTTAGAATAAAATTATTCTGGTGTACAAATGCAGCCTAGATTTTTTAATTTACCTTAGCATCAGGTAGATTAACAACTACTTCCCTTCCCCCTTGATTCTGGGGTGAGCAGTGAGAATGGAGTGGAATGTCTCAAAGTCCAGCATCTGAGACCAGAGGGACACAGAGAAGCAATTTCCTCGGGTCTGACACTTAGAGTTATAATTTATTCAAAGCCAGGAGTGTATCTCTGGGCTGAAAATGACAATTTTGAGGCCCTTCCGTTGAAGTCTCTCAGCTTGGCATCCTTCCGTTCTCCCATTTCAGATTAAGTGGGTCTACAGTGAGGCTCTTGGTTCCGATCTCGAGATATCGCTGGCAGGCCATATTATCTGCAGCGTTGCTTTAGATTTTAAACAAAAAATTTTAATCCTTTTAATTTTCAAATATGTATTTTAGATAAAGGGGGAGATGTTATTAAATGAGAAGGTAGAGAGTCTCCACTTCAAAAGGTAGGAAATCATGGGTATAGACGTTTTAGTCCATTTGCATAAAACTGCCTATTCTCAGATAGCTAGGTCAAGTGCAGAAAGAACCTCTACGTGAGATAAAATTTCCTCTCTGTTAGGATAGACAGCCAAGAGCTGCCCAAATTTTAACGTCTTGCTGTCTTTTCACCAGTACTTTCGGGCTATGTGTATTAAGATGTATTTGCTTATAAGTGGAATGCACACTCACAGCAGCTGATACCTTCAGGGCCAGAAGGGCTTTAGGGCATAAATGCGACCTTTATTTCATAGGTGAAGAAAATTAGAGGGTTAAATGACTAACCCAAGGTAATGCAGCCCATTAACATCAGGCCGAGGCAGGTGTGGAGCTGCATCTCCAGACTCCCCTTTACAGGGATGGAGCAAGTTGGGGAGACAGGAGTGACTGATTTGCCCTCCTGCCTTTGAGCATCTGTTTCATTCAGGTACCTCCTGCAATGCTGGGTCATAAGTGTCCAACCTGACTTTATTTAGCAAAAGGAAATGGCCCTGTCCCGAAGCTGCGTGACCTAAAGAGCAAAGCTGGTGACTTTTCTCCTTTCCTCATTGACTGATTTCGTTGTTTAAAAAGGAAAAAAAAAAAGTATCAAACTTTTGTGAGCATCTTCAAGAACTTTTCCATCAGCCTAGCATAGGGGAGCATCTCTAGCACCTCTGATAGAATAAAAGCGGGCGATGGAGATGTGGGGGACTCCTTTCCATTCGGACCCCGACTTTGGATTCTTGAGTCCCTACCCCTGAGGGTGCACAGACACTGTGTCTGGGGGAGCCGGGTCACCCTGCCATCAGCGTTTCATGAACGTGGAGGCCCATGATGGACTTCTGGAATAGAGCCAAGCCCACAGCTCTTTTCCTAGTTATTCCTCAATTTGAATCAGCCAGACCAGCAAGAAGACTGGGCTATCACTGTCCCAGCTCCCTGAGCCTGGCCCCTGGCAAAGTGGTAAGGCTTGTTCCTTGTGGTGGATGACACCTGTGGTTATACCTGTGATGTGATGTTAGCTCAGAAGTCATCCTGAGGGCGTTTATAACCTCTCATTAGGGGTTAGGTGGCTTGGGGGCTGGAGTACAAGGGGACGGATCTAAAAAGAACCCCTCAGTGAGTTTGTATTGCTGTCAAGGCACTCCTGACAGAGAAGGGTGTTGTGGGACTGGAGCTGGGTTTTCTGTTCATTAGCCTGGATCCCCCTCTGCGGGGATGATGAGACAGGTGGCAGGTGCAACCACAGGACCAGCGAGGAGTAGATTGACTGGCACTGAGATCTGCGTGTGTCAGGTTCTGTTTGGCTTTAGGGCATTTGCACACTTAGTATATTCCACTAACATCAAGATTTGTCTTTTTTGGGCATCTCAGTATCTGAAATGATTCAGCTCGTTTAAAAAAAAAAAAACGTTAACAGAGGAAGCTAGCTTTAGGTAGAGCATTCAGATGAGCAAATGGGGGCTCAGCTCAAGGAATGCCATCTGACCCGAGGCAGCAAAGCCCCACACTAATGCCTGGAGCCATTCTGTTGGGGACGAGGGATCCTGCAGGCTTCCTGGGCCTTCACCCTGTCCTTAAGCTGCAGCATGTGCCCTTCGAGATGATCCCAATGACCATGGACAACCCCCAAAAGCTGTTACATGAGGCCCATTGCTTTATCAGTTGAGAGCCAGAGGAATGGATAAAATGTACAGTTCTATGCAAGTGTTAGGCTCTTTTCCAAGGGGTAATGTAAGCTTTTTGAAAATTCACATGATGTTCCTGGCAGTTATGGGACCAAGTGGTGTTTCTACCTTGGGAGCACCTAACTTGATCTTTTTTAGAAGCCCCTAGTAGTTATTTTGTAGGCTTGGATTTTTTTTTTTTTTTTTTTTTTCAATTTCTCCCAGCCTCTGGTACCTCAGCATGCTTATGAGTCACCTTTGGGTAAATCCGTACACATTGAAGCCAACTCTCAGCTGTGTCTTAGCCTGAACTTTCCCTTGACCTTCACGCACTGACTCTGAGTGGCAGCTGTGGTGGCCACTTTCTTTACTTTGGTGCCACCATTTTGTTCCTGTTCTGACAGAGTCTGGCCTGGTAGAGATTGTATAGACCTTCTGTGAGCAGCCAGGCATCTTGACATATTTACCAAGCATGAATCTCTGCCTGCACCATCAGGATCTGTCACACACCTGGGGGCTGACCGTTTCTCCATCTACACTGGGGAAGCCACAGAACCAGCTCAAAGGGGTTGGGAGTAGTTTTTGAAATGGGTGGACTGGTTGGTAATTGCCTTTCTAGATGGTTATCTGGGTCATACATTCCTGTTAAAATGTGAAAAAGACCCAGAGTCCTATGCATTCTATTGTACCCCATATTGTGTGTTTGTGTAAATATGTGTATTTTTTAAGTGAAGAAGAAAAATACCCCTGCCTTTGTCCACAATTCTTTTAACAAACTGTTTATTGTTGTATCCAGGTAACAAGCATGGTAAGTATTTTCACCACATTGAGTATTCTGTATTTTAGCTGTGCTTGGCAGACTTTTTGGCTAGCTTTGTGTTACCAGCCTTGGCTTTTCTAGAAACGACCCATTTAGGAAAGGGAGAAACCACTTGCCGGGTAGCGTCCCCTGTGTCCTTGGCTATAGAGAGAACCCGTGTAGCCTTAGACCTCCATGGTGGGGGTACCTGAGAAAGCATGCGCCCCCGCCAGCATGCTGCTTGGCCCCGTCATGGCCCCCCACCCGCCCTGCTGCTTCTGAGCCTCCCCACCAGGTGTCTGCCAGGGCTCCCAGGCCTCGCATGCCTCCAGCAGCTCCTGGGACTGTGGCCCCGTGACAGCGCCCACAGATGGGGCCTGCCCACACCCTGTGGACGGTCCTACCCCAGAGCCACCACCCCCCTCTCCTCTCTCCCTCTTCCACCTGTATGCTTCAGTGCAGGGCCTTTTGGTTTTTTTTCTCCCTTTCCTTGAGTGTGTTAAGTAATTGGAGAAACCTCCCTTTGGAAGCTGGAAAAATAAATACACTGCCCACTCTTCTCAGAGGCTTCCCATTCTGTTGGAAAATGGATTAAAACATTTTTTTAAAAAAATGTTGCCACTGGGTAGTCTCCGTAAGGGTTCAGAGTACGGTAGGCTGAGTGTGTTTTAGCCTTTTGGCTGTGTTTATTCATCCGTGCATGTTTGCTTCTCCGGCCTCCTCTGTGGCTCTGGGTTTAGTCCATGTGCTCGTGGCTGTGCAAGTGAAGCTGCCTGGTAGCTATGTGTTACGTAGTAAGTCTGTGTGTCACTGTCACCTTCAAGGATCAGACAGCCAAGGATAAGGCCCTGCAGCACATGGCCGCCATGTCGTCGGCACAGATCGTCTCGGCCACCGCCATTCACAACAAGCTGGGGCTGCCTGGGATTCCACGCCCCGCCTTCCCGGGGGCGCCGGGGGTAAGTCACAAGCCCGTCCGGTAGGGGTGGCCCCTACAGGTGAGGGGCGGCGTGAAGCCATCCACCTGGTGCTTGTTCCTGGGCCTGGTGTGAGGGCGGGGAGGACCACCTGTGGTTAGCTGATGATGCCAGGTGCACAGTGGTGAGAGGGAGGGGGCCGGGAGAGAAAGCTAGAGGCTGGGATCCTGGGTCCCCACAGGCATGGAATTAGGTATCACTTTGCTGGTGTCCTTCTGGGCTGTGACCTGCTTCTGCTTTTTTTTTTTTTCCCTGTGTCCTCAAGGCCCCTTTAAGGGAACTAACCGTTAAAGGGGCAAAGTATTCTATTACCGTTTTCAGTTTGCGTCTACCAAAGGCTGAGAAGTTAATGTTATAACCTCATTCATCTTCGCAATAATCTTAAATGCCTCTCATTGTTATTGCCGTCTTGAGGATGATGAGATTAGTGAGTCACAAAGCGAGTTAGGTAATGTGATCATGGCTGGTGCCATCAGGACTCAAACCCAGGGCCTGGTGACTCGCTCTGCAGCCCCTTCTACGCAGGCTGCCTGTCCCCAGGGGGTGGCAGGCACCAGAAGCCTCAGGGAGGTGCACAGCAAAGGGGGTGTCTGCATTGCTCCTCGGAGCTCTTGGCCTCTGGTTCAGAGCTCTGTCCTCTCCTGGCCGGGCCCGTGGCGCTGTGAGCTGCGGAGGCAGAATGTCACACAGGGAGCATTTGCGAATGGAGGGAGGAAGAGGAGGATGGGCAGGTGGGTGCGTGGATAAAGCGGCCGGATGAAATATTTGTGAGCCCCCTGTCATGTGCCCAGATCTCGGGTGGGTGTCAGGAGAACACGGAAGAGCTGCTGTCTGGTCCCTGCCCTCAGGGCAACCATCTGGAGGAGGAGCTCCGGGGAGGCCTGGGCTGCTAGGCCAAGGAAGCAGGTTGCTCTCTGGTGCACATCGGCAACCACATCTGCATCTAGACAGGGTCCCTCAGCAGCAGACGAACGATCTGAGCCCACTGTCTTTAGCAGGGGTTGCAATGTGTGGACGTCCTGAACAGTGCTTTTGTGTGAACTCAGAATCCTGATGCCTCTTGCCTTTTGCCTTCCAGTTCTGGCCAGGAATGATACAAACAGGGCAGCCAGGATCCTCACAAGAGTAAGTCCGGGGAGGGGCTAGCAGTCACAACAAGGGTCTGGTCATAGCACCGCCTCGGTGGCGTTTCCCCAGGACCAGACTGCCTGGGAGCTTGTGGGAGAAAAGAGATTGAATCTGAGATCCCCAGAGTCATCTCCCATCATCCACTGAGGCCAGCAGCAGGAGAGAGACTGGAGTTGGTCTAGAGAGGCATAAACGGCTCACTGCCACCTTAAGTATTAGTGCTCACCTAGCTGGAAACAGGGAGAGGGGCCCCGGGCCTTCGTGGCTTTGGAGGGCAGAACCTGGGGTCTTCCTGAGAAGCCCCTGTCTGAGAGAGGACAGTGAAGGCGCTCCTAGAGCCCGGCCCATCCTGGCTTTCCTGGGGGGTGAGGGCAGCTAATCGACAGTCCTGCTGGTGCTTTGAGGGCAAGGGGAAGCTGAGGATCATCTGGAGATAAAAGCAGAAAGGAAGTCCTGCCCACCTGTTCTCAAAAAAGAACCGAAGCTGTTCGGCCAAGAGAGGGAGAGCCCGAAGCATGTCCCAAACCTTGCCTGGGAATGGTGACCCCTGACCTTGGTCACCACAGGGACGAGAAGAGAGATTTGATTAGATGTCACAGCATACGGGAATCAGGCTGATGTCTCTCCAGCTCATCCCGCTGAAGTGGTGTGAGGCCTGATGGTTTGGTCCCCAGCACCTGCTGGCTCCTCTCAAGCAGAGAGGGTAACTATCTCTGTCTTGGCGGAGCTCTGCCTGGGCTGTGTCAGCACCTGCAGGCCGGGAACCTTATGGGTGGTGGGGTGGGGTGCAGGTTGGGCCCCTAGCCCTGGGAGGCCAAGGCCAAACCTGGGGAGTAGCCACTGCTACAGGCTCGACTTCTGACTCTCCACCCCTCCCTCCCCAGCGTCAAGCCCTTCGTGCAACAGGCCTACCCCATCCAGCCAGCGGTCACAGCCCCCATTCCAGGTGAGTCTCCAAGGGAGTCCCCCTCGGAGGACCATCCTGTGCAGCTGGTGGCTGGGCCCGTCGCTTTGCTCCACAGAGCCTGTCCGCTGTACCTGCAGTGCCTTGGGCGCCCCCTCCTCACCCCTACCCTCCTTAAGCCTGGAACTCAGAAGGGTCACAGACGTGTTCAGTGCCCCCAGCCAGTTCCCCGGAGCTCTTCAGATGGGTTTTTAAAGGAAAGGGAAGCCAGCGGTGCCCAGCTGGCTCAGTCCGTAGAGCATGCCACTCTTGTTCTTAGGGTCGTGAGCTCGAGTCCCACATTGGGCATAGAGTTTACTTAAAAAGGGGGGGAAAGGATTTGGATATGTTAATTATATCTCAATTAAAAAAAAAAAAACCTGAAAAAAAAAAAAAGGGAAGCCCGATCACTTTCACCAAGGACCCTGGGTCACCCTTGGAAGGGGAAGTAGCTATGGTTCCTTCCTCGTCATAAACAGGCTGAATGGGACAGTTCAGATCTTGAGGGTGGTAGGGGACTAGCCAGCCTTTATTATATAAGTAGGTTTCAGTTCCTTGTACCCTCTCTTTAACGAAGAGCTTCCAGGGAAGCCTTGACTAGCAACCCGGAATCTGGCCAGCCCACCTGACCCCCGCAACACGTGTGCACGTGGAGTCACTCCGTTGAACTGCTGTCTGTTATTGAGTCCTCTGAGAGGACATGCATTCACATGTTGTGCTCTGTTCCAGTGTCACGGAGCATTCTGAGTAATTCTGTAGTGCTGGTGACCACAGTCTTAAGGAAGGAGATGGGCAAACACAAGAAATTTCTTGGGGGATCCTTGCAGAATTCACTTCAGGCTGTTCAGCCACTCTGGCCTTGGACCCCAGCCAGCCCCTTGTCTGGGATGGGGGGTGCTCCAGCCCTTAACCTGGGCCGAAGTTGACATTGTGAGGAGCCCCCTAGCGTTGTGCCTCTGGGTCCTTGGCCAGAATCCTCCCACCACCTGACTTCATTCTGCCCCTGGACTCTGGTGGAGGGGGGCAGCCGTTTTGCAGGGCCCGGTCCCAGCACTGGCCTCAGGCCCGAGGGGAGGCACGGGGCCTGCTTTAAAGGTGATGATTGGTCTTTCAGGGTTCGAGCCTGCGTCAGCCCCAGCCCCCTCGGTCCCTGCCTGGCAGGGCCGCTCGATTGGCACAACCAAACTTCGCCTGGTGGAATTCTCAGCCTTCCTTGAACAGCAGCGAGACCCAGACTCGGTGAGTGTGCTGCAAGGTGTGCCTTGAATCCCATTCCTGTTCACCTTCACACTCTTCTGCCTTCCTTCTCCTTCCCCCCTCGCTCATGCCTGCCAAACAACCTGGGTCAGAAGAGCCAGACTTTCACTTAAGTAAAAAGGTATTTCTATTGACAAGCAGATAGAATTGTAGAGCCGAATATTTATGAGTGCTCTGGACCTCAAACTCCAGGGAGTGCTGGAGCTTGAAGGGAAAGACTTTAACAGGGCTCTTGTGTTTAGGAAAATTAACAGCAGGTGACGGTTCTTGAACCCTGACATGTGGCTGGCACCGTGGAAAGCTATTTATATATATGGTCACGCTTTACACCCACAAAAACCCCTAAAGTGTCGGTACCGTCGGACAGATGAGGAAACAGAGAGGTTAAGGAATTTCTCTGAAGTCACACAGTTAATATCTGATAGATTGGACATTCAAATTCACGTCTTTAAAACTCAAGCCTTAAGCATTTAGCTGTTGCTCTGTCCTGCCTTTGCAAGTCTATCTTTGCTCAAGATAGCAAGTGGTTCTCTTCTTACGGAGAAGTAACAAGCTGGTATTCTAGCAGTTCGGTACAGAAAGCAGTGCTTTATGACATAAGCACCAGTCACGTTGGCATCTGGACTCTGTCATTTTTGTTCTTTGCTGTCTTCCCTGCCCCGTCTAGTTCCCATCACGCCATTGTTTCCCAGCCCGGCCCATCACTTCCCATACATATGTGAGCCCCCCTTCTTTCCCACCCAACAATCCCCAGACCCTTTCTTCACTCCCACTCCTTTGCTGTGCATCTGTGCGTTGCATCTGTGTGTGGGTGAGCCCTAGGCAAAAATGCAGGAATCAGGAGTTTGTCTTCAGGATCCTCACCAACTCCTTTCCATGAGCTCTCTCTCACCCCACCGCCCTGATCTCTGGGGCTCCCGACGCGCAGAGGTCCCACGCTCTGTATGTGTTCACTGCTTTGCTGTCGCTCTGTCATCAGGAGAAAGTGTCATGGATGATTTCACCATCTGTTGTAAATACCGACATACTGAACAGTCGGAGGTGACCTCTCTGGGGTCTTTGTACTGTAGCTCAGTGGAAAGCCTCTGACTAGGAAGATGCCACAAGCCATCACCATCGTGGAGACTCAGTGGACCCCTGACATTTCTGTTTGTTTATGAATTGTGAACTCTGGGTAGAAAAATAGAGCCTGTTCCAAAATTAGGAGAAAAAATGAAGAAAGAGATGGAAAGTAGGTCATTAGGCCCATTGAGGCAGCTTATTGGGACGAGGAGGGGGAAGGCCAGCTGGATCGATCGCTCTTCTCGTGTGGCTGAGTGGTTTTATAAGAAGGGTGATGGTGATGGCATGAAATCCTTCTCTGTGAGAGGCACTGAGATATAAACAAAAACGACTACCCTCCTGATTCTTTGTTTCTTGTTCTTTCTGGAAAGCATAGGGGGTTCTTTGGCCGAAGACTGGGTGTCAGCCCAGCGATGCTTTTCGCTTTGCGTAACTCGTGTTGGTAGGACACCTCGTTGCTTACAGAGTACGCTGTAGTTGATTATTTCATTCTGTCTTTGTAGTGCTCCATGAGTAGATTCTGTTTCCCCCGTTTTACAGCTGAAGAAACTGAGGCCCAGACACATTAAACAATTTAGGATGGTTAGTGAATAAGCAGAGGGATCAGGAGCCCAGATCGATTTCATTATACTCTTTTCACTACTATAAACCACCCCCAGTTTTGAAGTTCTCTCTCTCCAGTCTACATATCTCCCGGGTGAGCCAATCTTTCTCTTTGCTTTTGACCGTTTTTTAAAGAACAGAGCTCTTCCCCGTTTCCCTGGTTAAAAGACGATAGAATATTTTATCACAAAAGTTTTATTTTTGTTTTTGTTTTTTTTTAATTAAAAAAGCCTATGGCAGCCCCCTCTTGTGACCGTTCTCTCCATTTATGGACCTATTAGGGCCAGGAATGCCCAGTTCCTCTTTCCGCTGTTAGCGTTTATTGGGCTTCACATTGAGAACCACTGGATTCATTCAGTCCAATCCGTAAATGCTTAGGAGCACCTGCACGTGCGTGTAAGGCGCTGCACAGCGCGGCACAGACGGGCACCGTGTCTGCCTGTGCGGGGTGTGGCATGTAGCACGAAGACACACACGAGGTCATTGTGAAGTGTGGTGACTTCCATGAAGGAAGAGCACTGAGCGCTGTGAGTGATTAACGGGACAGGGCAGGCTTCCCTGAGGAAGTCACCCTTACCCTGGAAGGTAAGGAGAAGAATAAGGGAGAAGAACATTCCAGAGGTGATGACTCTGAGTGTAGAAAGCAGTAAGAAAGTTGGTGAATAGTTTCGTAAAGGCAGGGCCCCCCGCCCCCTTGGAACAAGTCCAGAGATACATCATGTTTCTTCCGTGTTTAGGATTACGCATGATAATCGGACTGGTTCAACTGGATTTGGCCTTTTACTGATGAATGGAAAGGTTTGGCTCTAAAGATTGGACTTGAGCACATGACTTCAGAGGCCCTGAAGTAAATGCAAGGCCTGCTGTGAGTCGACACCCTTGGGCCTCTTGAGAACATAACCATGCTTTATGGGGGGCATGAGTTGGGGACTGAAAAAAATTGGAATTCATTCAACAAATACTTTTTAAACACTTCCTACATGCCAGCCACTGTTCCAGGTGTTAGGGAACTAATCCTCATTCTCCTGGAGCCTGTGTTCCAGAGGAGAAGACGTGAGAAGTGCGCACGCGCACCCATTACATAAGATGATGTTAAGTGCTTCTGTGGAGTAACGGCCCTTCTTCACCATTTGAAAATTACTTGCTCTTTAGATTATGTATAATAATCTAAAGATAGAAAATGTATAATTTCAGAAAGTAATAATACCTTCTAATATATATGTTAGTGTTTCTGGCTTGTGTCATGATTTTTTAATTTTTTATTTATTTCTTAAGAATTTATTTATTTATTTGACAGAGACAACGAGAGAGGGAACACAAGCAGGGGGAGTGGGAGAGGGAGAAGCAGGCTTCCCCGCTGAGCAGGGAGCCCGATGCGGGGCTCGATCCCAGGACCACAGGATCATGACCTGAGCCGAAGGCAGACGCTTAACAACTGAGCCACCCAGGCGCCCCTGTGTCATGTCATTTTAAAATTAGGTCTATCAGACCGTGCCAACCAAAGCTCTATCACTGTTGTGACATCAGGTTGTTACATTGTAACATGTGTGTCACTTTTGATGTGGCTTCCCACATTCCTATGTCATAAACACTTAATTTGCAGCACGAATACACTTGTTTTCACAAAAACGCTTATTTTGCAGTGCATTTGCACAATTTAATGGATACAAATGAGTACATGGGGGATTGTGAATAATAGCATATGAATTTATTTAAGTAGAAATGTGAGGGTTTGAAGGATGGTTCTCATGTGAGAAGGAAGTGAGAGGACCTTGGGAGAAAAAGGTGATTAATTGAAATGGGATTCATCGAAATCAATAATTCACAAAATTATTTAAAGCACTGTGACAGTGTCTCAAGCACCAGCTTCTCAAGTTGCACAATGTGTGCTTTATTTTGCAAACACAGGGTGCTGATACAATGAGTGTGTAATGGCACTTCAGGACCAACGTCACACTGAAAAACTTGGAGCTTGTGGATGGGTTCTTTGGTTCTCAGACTTTCTGTGGCTTCTCAGACTTTAATTTTACTCTTTTTTTTTTTTTCCAACGACAGGAGAACTTAAAAGCCATCTAAAGTAAATTCAACTGCTGCCTTTTAACAAAGCTGGATATACAGTATTTAAAATACAACATGAGACATTAAGCTTGTTAATTTGATAAGGGAGCCAGCAAAGTGACAACTACTTAAAGGTCCCCAAACCATTTCAACTTTGTGTTTGTTTTCTCCGAATCTTTGTCTCCATACAGACATAGACACACAGTTTCCCCTACCTGCTTCCAAAGACTTTGGCTCTTTGGAGTCAGGGAGCTTATAGGTAATGGTGACAAACGCCAAACAAATTAATGAGCTGGGTGCTGTGCTGGTTTTCATGAGTGATCTCTTTCATCTTTGTCACAGCCCCATGAGGTAGGTAATTCTGTTCCTTTTTATGGAAGAGGCCTGGAGAGATGGCCTAAGCTAGTCCGCGGCCGGGGCTCGAACACACGCTTGTGTAGCAGCAAGGGCAGGAGGAGGACCTGGTTCGCTGGGTCCCCAGGCTAGGGTGGCCCCCCTGGTACCAGCCATTCTGGAAAGTCACTCTTCGGTTGACGACGTACGTGCCCATCGCCACCACTGAAGACGTCGTCACGACTCCCCTGTCCCTGGTGGCGCTAACACCGGTAGACCCGCAGGACAGTAGTGGCGACCGCGGCACCGTGCATCATTTTATTTAATCCCGGGAGACAGCGTGCCCCATGGTAGCCCGTCAGCTGTCATTGGAAACAGGATTGCGGCCCAGGTCTGTTGACCGCAACCCGAGATGATGACCAAAAGGCTGCAAGAGCCGGTTGTATCCGAGATGCAGCCTGTGGCCCGCTGTAATCTGTAAGGCGCTAAGGAAGAGTCGTCTGGGGGATGAGCGCCCCCTGCTGGCTCTGCATCGTGTACGAACCAGACGGTAGCATTGCCCCCCAAATCGGGGGTTGTTTACATTGGTGGAAAACCAGCAAGTCAGTCCCTCTGTTACCTCTGGCTCCACTTGAAGCTAAGAGAAAAACAGCAGAGGGTGAAGAAAGGAAGGAAGAATCTAAACAACAGAGACTATTTTAGAAGTGGTTAGTAATGCTTGGAAATAACGCTTTACTACATGATTTCAGTGTTGCATAGCAAAGGACTTCAAGTGTTCAGTGCAAGATCCTCCACCCAGCGTGGGCCATTTAAAAGCACCTTGCCTGAAATGTGGCCAAGTTAGGCAGCTGCTCCTTTAGGCCAATGAAAATCTGGGCTCTGCGTGTGTGTACGGGGAGTGGTTTTCCTGATAAAGCCTAGCAGCC